GATTAAGCATAGTGCTAATAATGGACTAGATAAAAATGGCTCAATTAAATTCTAGTGCTCCTTCTATTCTTGAAGTTTCTAGAAAACAAAATATATCAAACGACGCAATGCACCTTTGGTCGGTACGGAAACAGCCTCTTTGTATAATTACAAGGGTAAGGTTTGAGTACAACTGACCCCCCAGACCGCAACCAGTTGGGTATATACTGGGTATGTTGTTGTTGTTGTTGTTGTTGTTGTTGATTGATGTATGCTTTTGAAAATGAGCAACGCCATAAGTGATTTGAAATAAATCTGAAAAATTTTATTCTGATTTTAGGCAAGTAAAAAGTGGGGCGTTACAATATACTTCATTAATACACATATAAACAAGGGAAAGGGCTTCACCATATAGCATGCTTTATCAAGAATTCAACATCAAGCCACATACAACACCGCATAGACATAAATTCAATCAAACTCCAACAAATATCATAAGGACCCTCTAAAATACTATCATAACACACATAAAGAAGGGTATTTAAGCCATTATGTACCGTTCTCGGGAAAAACACATGAAAACGGACGGGGAAGGGGCTGAACGGGGTGCTCGATGGCGGTACACGGTAAGGCGGCTTCGCTCGGCTCGCAGTTGTGGCTCCTTGTCGCTCGTTCTTGCTGGTCGGGCTCACGTGAACGATGCTTCGGGATGCTAGAGGCTCGACGACGGTGTTGGTCGCTAAACGTCGGGACCACGTGACCCGGGGGTGGTGATGATTGGCGGCCTGGCTCTCCGCGCGGCTTGCAGGCAAGATCGCGGGCCTGAGGCAATGAGGTACATGAACCACGAAGGTGATGGTCGGTCTGGGGGCGACGCCGGGAAGGTTTTTCGGTGGTGGAGGTTAGCAGCAATCGGCTTCCTACTTCTTCTTCTCACTTTTTTTTAACGCGAGAGATGAGAGATGGGAGAGATGAGAGCGCTGCGGTCGATTTAAACATCGGGAAGATTTCTCTGCTTATCAACGAACGAAAGAGATGTGATTTCATTTTATTCTTTTTCAGAACGCGATCGAGAGAGATATACGTGCGGGCTGGGGATTTGCGGCGTGAAGAAGAAAGAAAGAAAGGGTTCACTTGCATATATATAATGCTAGGTTAAAAATTCAACTATCCAAACAAGAAAACACAAGGGGGTCGAGTTTGGGGCGCGGGGGTGGATTCACGGCGCACGGGCCGGTTCTCATCTCGGTTCGACAATTATATTAGAGTTCGGTTCGTTCACACGACGATAAAATAAATTAACCGGCACACATTTATATATATGTGTATATAACACACAATATATTATATAATAATTAAGCAATTAATACAATTAGACAATTATTCCAATTAAATATAATAATAGCAATAAGTAATATTCTGAAAAAATCCAGTGAACAAACGGGGCTTCACAACTCGGATCTGCTCTCGTAACAATATTACATCCGCGTCCGTTAATATACTCGGTTCACCCCGGAAATCAACTTCTAGGTCGGGCCACTTCCTAATCGGTCGTCTCCAATGGCCGACAACTCCATCGCGTCCCTCTCCACCTTCTTATCCCCATCTATGTTATTCGGCTTAATATCAATGTGCGCAACGAACATCAAATCTCAACGATAACACTCGAAGGTCAACTCTACCAATTCAGAGTCATGATATATACTCTCCGATACCGTCTTGCTGCTCGAAGAGCTACTGCTACTAACGGTCACGGCGACCAATATTTTGAGAACAAGGCGAACGAATCGAAATATAATGTTTAAAATAACAGAGAAAGAAAAAATTACGAACAGAGCTTACCCTAAGTTCTCGGATCTCTAATGGCGAAGACAAATCTCATAGAAAATCACAGAAGAATTACAAGTAGCGGCATGAAATTCGAATGCTCGGAGTTTTTGAAGAAATTAAGAGTAAAAATCTCCCTTCAAATCAAGTTACGTCTATTTATATTCTACAAATTATGACCGTTATGGTTATGAATTAGGGGTGCGTGTTTGGGATGCACCCCCCATACCAGACGACACGTTCCATCGATAGCCAATGCCTACCTCCCACATGTTGACCTATTTATATATCCATTATCTACCGTAATATCGGCGCACCTTTTCACGAAACATCGTCATTAATTATAGTCGTTACATTACTTCAATTCCAGAAGTTACTAGCTCAAAAGTTACCAAGTACCCGCACTTCGGAATAAGTCCTTCAGCTCGGAATAAAGTACGGCGTCGGAATATTTCCTTACTACCTGCCCAGGTCGGATTTTAAATATCTATTTTGGCGTCCGCGATCATCCCTCTGATATAACCGCTAACGACGGGGGCCTCCGTGTTGACAACCGACCTGGCGGTGATCAGTGTTATCAGACAAAAACCGATTCTTATGCCATAAGTACAATTTATGTACGTAAAAGACGAACTCACTTCACCCCGGTCCGAATCCAAAACCGAACACCCACTTGATTTACTTAGAATCCGGGAACCGACTTACTGAACCAAACCGAGGTCACTAAAACTGAAGCAGTTAATGATGCACCTACGCGAGAACTTCATGCAACACATGTTACGTCATCATTTTGGTGGGCCCAACTGTCATAACCGCCCCTCTAAAGACACTTTGCCTTAAATGCTGTTGTACACGCCTCAAAATACGGGCTCTAAAAAGATACTATAAATAGCAGATTCTTTATCTTGTACAAGATCGAATTCCAGATATTTCATTTATAATAATTCACGAAAATTTCCTGCTCGGTTCACAAAAAAACCGACTTCAAGTATTTCTTATCTTCGATCATTTTATGTTTAATTCTTGCGAATTAATGTTATAATTATCAACAAGTGCATTGTTAATAATCGCTTGACAACATCGTTCTCATCGTTCTTCTGAACGGATCTTTTCCATTCAGATTGCAAGCTTTTAAGCATTCCAGCCATCTTTCAAAATTATCCAATTGATCTATAAAACCAATGAGGACAACTAAAAATTGTGGTTCGACTCATCGTGACCCAGCTCCTGAGGAGGCGGTACATTGCACGCACCATGTCACATGCGGTTTACCCACTTCACGGGGCCCAAAGGCACGGAACACCAGTATGCGGTAGCTGTGTGCATGTACTTGCAACGTCAGTGTCGCCTATAGTCACAAACATGGTCGCCTCCACGTCTTATGTTAGAAGCCTTATTGTATTGCGATGCACAGGATTTGAATGGTGCCACGACCACTGACGCAGGGGCATTCTTGGGCCACGGCTAACGGAATCGACGTATTGACTGGTAGGTTGAACGGACGCATGAGAGTTGGGCAGAGCGCAGGGGTGCGCCTCGGCCGGACTCGGTGCACGTTCACGCACTCGGTGGCTCGACTCCAATGATAGGGAAAAGTGGGACAAGAGTACGGAACATCGATACGCGTTCAGGATGCATGCTAATGCACGTCGGTTGTGCTTGGATTTAGCTGCTTCTTGGTACAAATCGAGGGTCTTACTACTTAAATGTGTAAACATTACCCAAGGGTTCTAAAGTCTTACTATTAAGGCTTCTCTGTTCTACCTTTCTTTTTACCACCTTTGCTCTTCCTTACACTATGTCTCAGCTTAATACTGGAATACTGTTCTCTGTTGTTGAGGAAATCTACTTTGCTCGCTTGGCAACTCTCCCAAGCTATCTTTATGCTTACTACTTGTCTGTTTCTTCATAATTTCATTCCCAAAGCCTAATCTAAGGCTAGTGATGTCGAAACACCACCAATACTTAGAGGTGACTTCATCACCTAACTTTCACGTGATTTTTGAATGTTGAGGCATCGGGTCCCTCGACTTCCCGTGGAGGATGTCCGAGCTTCAAGTCAATCCTTGAACTTGTGGTTTTCTCGCATGGGGTCAACAATTTTTTGGCTTCTCGAAGGTGAGTACTTACTCTCCTCCTTGAGTCTACTTAGCTTTCGGTAATGGGTGCACATCTTCTTTTCTTCATGAACCATCGAGCGCACCATATAGTGACGCTCTTGGTCCATTAATTCCCAACTCGAATTTGGATCCTCAGCTCACATAGCTTCTTGACGTCTCATTTGTTTGGCGCTTTTGAAACTGATCATACTCTGGCACCTAGTCAATTGAATTCCACCTTTCAGTCAGGTGCTCTTCTCAGTAACATTTTTGAAAATATGTTCACATGATTGCGAATAATGGTTAACTCTCCGAACGTTGTCAGCGAAGTGTTCTGTCTCTTCACGACTTCTAGAATTTTCCCATCGGCATATCATCCATCTCTCTGACAACTTCTAACTTGAATACTGTGGCATTTAGCACAGGTATGTGAAACTTTTTTGAGTCTTCGTCTTCCTAAACTATCTTCATCTTTCACGTGTATGAAGGTTGGTTCTTCTTCTTGGATTGTGGTTGTTGTGATCGTGTAACGCCCCATTTGTTCCAGATTATTTTGAGATTATTATTTATTTTATTCGTATTAATTATTTTGGGCTCGATTATTTAATTTTTGCGTGATTATATGCTCATATTTGCCAAAGTGTATTATTATCGAACCGAATTAATTTCCAAACCGAGCATCGAATCGAGTCGGGCTTTTATTTTAATTATCAATCGTATGCCAAATCGGGCCCTTCTCGACTGCGCGACGTCCAGCAGCCCACAGCCGCGTGCGACTTGCAACCCGTGCCCGTAATCGACCTCCGCTCGACCCGAGTCCTCCTTTGCATGCATGATCTTATCTTGAAATTTTGAATTCAAAAGGGATATCCTATCCCTTAACTTCAACCACCTCATCCCTTTTAATGTGCATTGACCAATAGTTAATGTGAGGGAGGTTACACACTTTTCATTAAATGAGGGAAGACCACCCTCTCTTTCTCTCCTTCACTCCCCATAGATTTTCCCATCTTCTCTCCCTATCCCCTCTTGCAAAAATTCAGAATTTGTATCCCTCCCTCTTACCTCATATTCCGCCAAAAATAATCACCGGAGCACTGCCTCGCATCGCCCATGCACTCTCGTAATGCCAACGAGCTGCTCCCCGCGACCGTCTCACACTCGAGCTCCATCCATTCAACGTCCAGCGTTCCTTTCACGAGCCACCTGGAGTCATCAGCACTTGATGTGCGAGCCACCTTCAACGCCGAGCACGCGAACAATTTCCCCGCTCGTACGACCCAACCGAGCCACGACCGTGCTTCGTTTTGTCATCCCTTTTTGGTGTTTGGTATATTATGATAACTCCAATATTTATTTTTGTTTTTATGTTAAATTGCTGATTATTATGTCTTGCTTGAATTGTTTGATTTTATAGGATATAATATGATAGTTATTAAATCGTGTTAATTATGGATCTATAGGGTTTGATAGTGAACCCTTAGGATTTGATCGAAACTCGTGGCTAACTCTTGGACTATGTGTAATATCCCGTCAGTTTATTAATATAAATCATGTTTTAGTTCTGATATATTAATATTGTCGAGTATTAATTTTCGAAATTAATTATTTTCAGTCGAAATTACCTGAAATTATTTTCGACGTTCCGTTTACGTTCGGAATAATTTTGATAATTAAGTATTATGCTTAATAAATTAATTAAGCACAAAGTGATGATTAATGACTAATTAATTATGCTTAATTGGTCATAAGCCGTAGCAATTGGGTCCATTATTTGCAAATTTTTAAAATGCCGTAGGCATTAAAAAATTTGATTTTCCCTCAATTCTTTTAAAAAGCCGTGAGTTGTTTTCTTCAAAAGGAAGAATTCTTCTTCCTAAGAAAGCATGAGGTGGAGTATATATTTGATGAGTCATCCTTAACCCCTCTATCTAGCTTCCAAGTGTCAAGAAAGGGTGAAGACAACAAGCCATTTCATCACCCAATTTTCCCTATTCGGATTAGTATATATAGGTTGAGAATTTGAGAAAATTTCCTCACTTTTAGCATATATATTTCGTATGTGAGGAATTAGAGATTTAGAGAGAAATTTACCTTAATAAGCTCAAGCAAGGAGGTTTAGCACCACACCGCACGTAAGCTTAGCCGAGCACCGCACGCCGCACCGCAAGCCTAACGCACACACGCACGCACGTCCGGTCGCGACGAGGTTCAAGTACTTCGGGTGTAATTCAGCGAGCAAGTGAAGAGATAATGGCGGGAGATATCTCTTTCTTATATTAGTACTATCATGTTCAGTTCATGTAGCCGATTTCATAGTACCATCTTAAGTCGCCTCGGCTGTGTGTTTGGCGTGCGAGTAACTAGCAAGCATGTTCATGTTGTTGAGTAAATCTCTCGTGTATTGGTCATACAATCAGCCTTTGTATTCAATATCATGTTAGGTTATATTGTGTGGCTCGATGTATGTTCATGTTGTTCGGTGATTCGGCCGAGAGGCGTGGTCGCGCACGTCGCGCGCCCATGGGCCGAGCATGATGATGGATTATGTTAAGTATTAAACCATCGAGCTTTCCATGTCAACTCATTCAGCAAATGCCATTTCATGTTCAGTATTGAGTTGATTGTCGGGAGAAAATGAAGTTTGGTCGTAAAACGGCTTACCGCTGTCGGCGGGCGCACACCGCGGCCGAGTCCAGCTTTTTGAACAAAATTCATGTTTTCAAGTTAATTCAATATTCATGTTCGCGCCAGGTCAGATT